CCCCCCACACCCAGAACCCCAGGGGCTAGCACAGGCAGTCACTGCTCCCATGCCAGGGGAGGGGTAACCCAAACCGTACCCCCCCACACCCAGAACCCCAGGGGCTAGCACAGGCAGTCACTGCTCCCATGCCAGGGGAGGGGTAACCCAAACCGTACCCCCCCACACCCAGAACCCCAGGGGCTAGCACAGGCAGTCACTGCTCCCATGCCAGGGGAGGGGTAACCCAAACCGTACCCCCCCACACCCAGAACCCCAGGGGCTAGCACAGGCAGTCACTGCTCCCATGCCAGGGGAGGGGTAACCCAAACCGTACCCCCCCACACCCAGAACCCCAGGGGCTAGCACAGGCAGTCACTGCTCCCATGCCAGGGGAGGGGTAACCCAAACCGTACCCCCCCACACCCAGAACCCCAGGGGCTAGCACAGGCAGTCACTGCTCCCATGCCAGGGGAGGGGTAACCCAAACCGTACCCCCCCACACCCAGAACCCCAGGGGCTAGCACAGGCAGTCACTGCTCCCATGCCAGGGGAGGGGTAACCCAAACCGTACCCCCCCACACCCAGAACCCCAGGGGCTAGCACAGGCAGTCACTGCTCCCATGCCAGGGGAGGGGTAACCCAAACCGTACCCCCCCACACCCAGAACCCCAGGGGCTAGCACAGGCAGTCACTGCTCCCATGCCAGGGGAGGGGTAACCCAAACCGTACCCCCCCACACCCAGAACCCCAGGGGCTAGCACAGGCAGTCACTGCTCCCATGCCAGGGGAGGGGTAACCCAAACCGTACCCCCCCACAACCCAAACCCCAGGGGCTAGCACAGGCAGTCACCCCAACTGAGAAGGAGGAAGAGGCTTCCCACATTCCCCTCGCACACAAGGCTTCCCTTGTGAGGAGGGCGGGGCGGGGGGCGGGGCGGGGCAGGCTAGCAGAATTTGTCTGCTCCAATCTGGCCACCCAGAGAAATAAAAAAGCAAATTGAAAGAGCCAGACGAATACCTAGAAACCATCTACTTCAAGACAGACCCAAGAAAACCAACAATAGAACACCACTTGTCATCACCTACAACCCCCAACTTAAACCTGTCCAACACATTATCAATAAACTACAGCCTATATTGGAACAGGATACCATACTCAGGTAACCCACTCTGTACCCCACACACACATTGAGAACCCAGCAGCTAGTACAGGGGAGTCACTGCTCCCACCACCAGGGGATACTCCAATCTGTACACCTCCCACCCCCAGAACCCAGGGGTTAGCATAGGGGAGTCACTGCTCCTGCCTGTGGGGAAATACCTAAATCTGCCACCCAGCCCAGATCCCAGGGGCTAGCCCAGGGGGCCGCTGCTCCCACTGGGGGGGAGAGGGGTTACCCATTCTGTACCCCACCCACCACAGATCCCAGGGGCTAGCCCAGGGAGCCGCTGCTCCCACTGCCGGGGGAGAGGGGTTACCCATTCTGTACCCCACCCAGCCCAGATCCCAGGGGCTAGCCCAGGGAGCCGCTGCTCCCACTGGGGGGGATGCGAACTAAGGCAAGTGCAGAGGAGATGAGGGGCCAGAGTGGAACTGCATGAGCTGTGCCTGGCCAGAGCAGCAAGGTGGTGCCCTAACTCTGGGGTCAGACCCAGGAGCTGGGGTGTGCCCCATAAAGGCTTAGTGCTGCACGGGGCATTGGGGCCAGCTCACTGCCAGGAGAGCGAGGGCCCCTGCCCCTAGGCCCCCACTGCCTGCTAGGAGAGTGTCACCTACTGAACCTTCACCCCACCCCCGGGACACTGGAAAGTCTCCCCTCCCAGGACCAGTCCCTGCCTAGCTTGGGACACTGCAGCGATGCCACCAGTGGGCTGAGCCCCGCCTGCTTGGCCACAGGCCAGGCCTGTACCTCCCAGGGCAGAGTCACCTGCCCGCCTGTCATGCACCACCAGGGCAGCGAGACTGGGCAGGGTTTGGTGCCGGTCCAGCAGGAGGCGGAGTATCGTCTGGCGCCGCTCGCTGACTAAGTTGCGTCCCAGGAACATCGACGTCAGGTCAAGACGGGTTTGCAGTTCCCGGGCCAGCTCCCTTGTGACGGCACCTGGGTGGGGGCTTGGCTCCCTTGTGACGGCACCTGGGTGGGGGCTTGGCTCCCTTGTGACGGCACCTGGGTGGGGGCTTGGCTCCCTTGTGACGGCACCTGGGTGGGGGCTTGGCTCCCTTGTGACGGCACCTGGGTGGGGGCTTGGCTCCCTTGTGACGGCACCTGGGTGGGGGCTTGGCTCCCTTGTGACGGCACCTGGGTGGGGGCTTGGCTCCCTTGTGACGGCACCTGGGTGGGGGCTCGGCTCCCTTGTGACGGCACCTGGGTGCGGGCTCGGCTCCCTTGTGACGGCTCCTTTTGGAGGGACATTCCACAGCCTCTCAATGTCCGCTGATTTCACCTCCCTGTTAAACATGCCCAGGTGCTGGCTGAGCCTGTGCTGCGTTATGATGACCGGCAGGGAGCTGGAGACCTTCCTGGTTCCTTCCAGCGGGATGGACTTGGCATAGCCAGCACCGTGCGAGCCCCAGCCCAGGGGCAGCACCCTCTGAGGCCCCCTGCCACCAGGCCTCTGCTCCACTGCGGCGTTCCTGCCGAACCTGGCGGAGTTGCGCTCCCGTTTCGTTTTACGGCGCTGGACTCGTCCGGGTCTCTGCCCAGCACCATTGTGTCCCGGCTCTGCTGCCATCAGCTGGGAGCCACAGGGGGCACGGCTGCTCTCATCCCCTGCCCCTCTTCTGCTGCAGGGATTCATGCCGGCTGCAGCTCCTGTTGCAAGGAGCAAGGGCAATGTTAGAGAGCTTAGAGTCCCCTGCCAGCCACCCAGCCCTGCCCCCTTGCCTTAGTGCTGCTGACCAGAC